ATCTCCTTAGATATTCAGATATTCTGCAAAGCCTTCCTCGACCAATCGACTTCTCTCATTCTACAGTACTGAGTAGGAAGCAAGCGAGGTACTTTCCGTTGGCAGCCCTCGTTTGCTACAAGTAATGAAGCATAGGATCAAGACAAGCTGCTCGAGAAAAAGCTCGCTGGTGGTCCCAAGTAACTCTCCTTCAACCCACCAAGATCCACAACCAACTTCTCCAGCAACAGATTAGAATGGTTTAATCTTATCTGCAGCGTATGTTTCCCCTCTCCAAACTCCTTCGCCAGCTTATGTTTCTTAACCCACACACAATCCTGCACAGCTTTGGCCCAGCCATCTGGGAGTTCTCCAGCAATCTTTGGCTGGTCGAGTAACTGGTATGTCTGCGGTTCTCCATCGACGATGACATTATACTTCATTAGATGGCTTGGGTCGAGATCGAGCGTCATGTTGAAGTATAGTACGAGTTCAGCAGGACAATCACTGAAGACGTAGATGTCATATGTGAGATATGATTCTCCCAGATCCGAAGCAGGGTCCAGCGCCACAGAGCCATTGGAACTCAATCCCACTTCAACAAGTGTTCGATAAGGGGATTCAACAACACCAGACGATGCTGGGATAGAGATACAGTCATCTCCCTCTACAAACCCCGAGAATGCTTGCGGACACTTCCGTCCCAGTACAGGGAGGTGGACCTGTTCGAAGTCGCCCTCAGCCGAGCGGACATCAACCAACATCTCCTCTTCAAAGTCTTCTGGAACCTGTTCCCAATCGATCGTAATTTTGACACGTGCGTCCTCTTCTCCTGGGACGAGCGTTCCCTCAGCCATAGAGAGCTTGATCCAGTTGCATGGCACACTCGCAGTCCAATGAATAGTAGTATTTCCTCTCGTGAACACATCGAACCACCTACCGTCAGGTCCATACCTAGTCACAGCCCCAAGAGTAAGACCAGGAACTAGATCTCTCCTACTCGGATGCGTCCTGTCCGATTCTTCGTTACACCTACCCGGCCTCACTCCCTCATGTCCTTCAACAGCAACACCCATCTGTCCCGCGATAGGATTCGAGTTCTGCCTTCTCTGGACATAGCAAAGCCCACTAATCATATCCCGCGATGGCGCATGCCACGTATCGCCAAAGCCGTAATGTGTCTGCATCATGATATGATTCCACTTCCCATCCAACAAACTGTGGTACTCCTCAGAAAGGCTATAATCCGCGTCGAACAAATCAAGCACTTCTCTCGCCAATGTGTTAGCATAGTTACGACGCTGTCGAGCATACAGTTGGTTCCTGCCGAGAGCTATCTGTAATGCTATGAAGATATACGAAGCTTTTATTGGGAAGAGCACAAGCTGGAAGACGCTCGCACGTTTATCTTTCGGGGACCGATCGTATATGGCCTTCGCGTTCTCGAGAAGCGCTACCCAGCGAGTGAGGACATGTTCGGCTTCGCTGTAGTGGAGAAGGGAAAAGGTGGATGGTTCGATATGTTCATGCTTCCTCATTGAGACAAGACGATCGTATTCCAGCGACGCCTCACCGATCTCGCCACTCAATTCTGTGCCGAACTCGCGCTCAGCCATGGTGTTGAAGAAATGCGAGAAATTGTTAGCTTGGATGGAATTGATATCCCACGCGAGAGCCATGGCAAAGGTCAAGGGAATCTCCAAGGCTTTGATATCGCCGACGTTGAAAATCCAGATTTGCTTTGCGTTGCGTCGGTGGGCTTCCTGGAGCTGGTGCCATGTTTTGCCCTGTCTTCGACATCAACACTTATCAGTGGAGTTTGCGAGAGGGAAACTTACGAGGGAGTTGCTGTTGGTCCATTTGTAGCTCCGAGGATGTCCCACGTATTCGAAATGGTAGTAAACCTAGCGAATGTCAATACCAGAACCTAGGGCCAAGCATAGGACATACTCCAGCTCCACCTTTCCTCTCCCCCTCCTTACCGCGAGGTAGACGACGAATATTGCCAAAATTATCGTCGGCAAACAGAAGCGTGACATCGTCAGGGACTTCCAATCGGCCTGTATCATACTGATCCTGAACTTCCTTATACAAAGCAAGAAGTTCTAGTGATGATATTAGCGTTCGAAAAATAAATCCTCATTTCATTTTTCCAACTCACGAGTCACACCATCCTCCCTACCATGAACATCCTTCACAATGTCCCTCTGCGTCCGAATAACCTCCCTAACAACCGCAGCCGGATCATCCGTGACCATCTTCTTATCATACTCTCCACGCATGCCCAGCGTAACATACGACTCGCACCCCTTACTTCTCTTAATCCCAGTCTCAAAGAACTCAGTTATCTTCTCCTTATTCGTCAGCCAATCCCAGCTCCCATCTGGGTTTTCAGCAAACCACTCGTTGGACATCCGTTGCATTGGCTCATGGTGAGAAGTAGATATACAAATTCCCCACTCCTCAGCCGTCCTCTGATTCTCCTCATCATCCGTAAAGAACGACGCCCCTGGGTTCGGATATCCAGGCCACATAGCCGGCCAGAGGAAGTTTGCCTACACATTTTGTCAGACCTCACACTTAGTTTCAGCCACCTATGCAGAACGATATGAGTGGGTGATATTTTGGATTGACGGACTTTCAAACGCAATAGCAGCTCAAACACTTTCTTGTAGAACTCGACACCGTACTTGCCGAAATTCTCGCGCACCCATCCCGTGAGCGCGGGGGCTTCATCGTTGATGAAGATACCTCGGAAACGGACACTGGGCTCTCCTTGAGTCGTGCTCACGGGTAACGCGTAGATTTCGGGGTGATGTTGAGATACCACATCAGCCCACCAGTACCATCTGTTTTGAAGTCAGTCTCCATACTATTTTTTTTTTTTAAAAAAAGAAGAAAAGGTCTGATGAAGAAAAAGCCATACGGCGAAACACCAATCTGCTCCGCGAGCGAATATGCCCCAAAAATCGCCCCTCTCTTATCACTCCCAGCTATAACCAGAGCCCGACTACACCCTCCAAACGGATTCTCAACCACAGCTGTAGTGTACGATTCCCACTTCCCTCTCACATTCTCCAGAGATAATTTCCCACTGCGTTCGAGACTTTGAATCAGCGGGCTTGCAGCTACACTCCCCACGATGATAGCGGTGTGGCGAGATCCGTCATCGAAGATATCCTGCTCGCCTGCCCAGATTTTGAAGGGAGAAGGAGCGCTTTTGGTGACGAGGGAGAAATCTTGAGATAGATTCCGTGCAGCGATGTGTATTCCAGGATAATCATCTTTGTCTACCAGGATTGGGACGCCGACTAAACTGAGCAGCCCGCTCCCGTTTGAAAACGAAACGAATTTCTCCTCGAACATCTTGAAGGCGTTGCTCAGGTTGGGTAAGTTCTTCCTTTCCCCCTTAATCAGCCGAGTTTCTGCTGTGATGATCCAGTGGTTTTGTTGCCCTTGACTCGATGGATCCTACAACAGGCTGACGATGCAAAAAACAGTTCAATTAGCATGTGAGCAACTCGAAAGAGTACATACTGTAGCCTACATAAACCCCAGCACTCCCAATCCTCTCTGATGGATACCTCCTACAGAACCATACATTCGGATGCACGAACGCTTGGCCTTGCACATTCAGTAATAACCAGCGAGACAAGGCGTTTCCCAGCAGTTATTACTGTACAGTAACCAACCTAAAGAAAGGAAAACTCCCCGCAACCAACCCCTCAGCCCCAGACTTTTAGTGCCTACGAATCCCCACCGTACAGTAAAGTAAAGTAAATTGACTCTCGAGAGTGGGATGGTTTCAACACCAGCGACTCACAGCTACTGCTTTTCTCCACACTTGCTGTTTAGAGATCTATGCGATTTGACCGCTTGGTTTTTGATCTCGTGAAAGAAGTTTGTTTTGGCTCTTGGCGAGCAGCCACCGCTACATCTGTGACCGAGCTTAGGCAACCCACTTTCTCGGTCTCCGCTTGCAGAATATGAAGATACACCTTATTTGAAGAATTGCTAGGCTCAGATTCAGGTAGATGTGACTGTACTAGATGGAAATGCATTTAATGGTAAGTCATTTTTGAGTTTGGAAAACTCGTATCTTCATATCTATGGGCTAGGTCAAGTCGTGTTCTCAACGAAACTTGGCATACCTGCCTGCGGTTGAGGTATTTGCCATTGATGAACTAATTCAAGTCTCTCTGAATCATCAGGATATATCCTTAGGACTTTCATACTGAGGGAGGGGAAGAATGAGCTCCTCAACTAAGTGCATATCCATTTCTAGCGTCTTGTCTTACCGTAATGGAATCAGACTTGACCAGCACACCGAACAGAAAGCGTCCAAGTAGATATCCCAATCCTGGACAGGACGAATAAAACCCGATTTGACGATTAACTATATCACTCAACTCTTTCTCATATCCAACGGCAAGTAAGTTAAATGTCGTAGCGGAAGATTTCAAACCCCGCATACTCATACACAGAAACCATCGAATTTCCACGGGTATGTTCTTTACTCCGTTTATTCAAATAAAATTATTTATAATCCTCCTCTACACAAAAATAAAGTATGTACTGTTCGTTAGCTAGCTTTAATAGATGAAGTGGATTTATGAATGTCATGAGCCGCTGTGCTGAGCTGTGCTTTCCTCGTCAACTTGGATATAATAACCGAAACAAAACATCCCCCCTTGCTCATCACGCGATAACCGGGACTTCTGCTTCTCTATCAGCCAAAAGACTTACCGAGAACTCATTCTAGATCGATTCTTACCGTTTTCATTTCATTCTTTCACGGCCCATGTCAGAAGTTTCTTGCAACTACTTTTATCCCTTTCTGCAGCATCTACCCGCGAAGTCTCGCCTAACCGCATATCCTGAAGTCGACATCAACAAAGAGTCATCTCATTTATTACACACCTACCCTCTGATTCACCCACCTAAGCAAAGGATATAGAAAGAAAAAAAAATGATATGATCTGTTTAAATATTCTAATAGCATATCTGCTGGCATGGATATCCGCCCCTGAATATAGTGGTCATACGTCAGACTCTGATTTGCATCAGATCCTCTGAAGTCGCCGGTTCGAATCCGGAAGGGGTGTCTTGTGTTTCTATTTTTAACATCTAGATTTTGGAATTATATAGAAGAGTCTTTTGGGAATAGATGCAGCACAGATTTGATTTTAGGGAGCTGAGATTTTGAGTCCAGAGTTTGTGATATCCTTTCCGACCTTTTCCCAGCTCGCGTTTCTAACTCACTTCAAAGCTAACAGCCCATCGTTAGCTTAGAACACAACGCGACTCATCATAAGTAGGGAATTTCTTGGTGTGAACAAGATACATGTCTCTAATTCTTCAATACGAACAAGATCTGGCCCCGTCGTAAGCTTCCAATTCCTCTCTTAGAGGTGCTTTTTACAATAAACAAGATAACAATGAGGAAGTTCTGAAGAGTTTCCCTTTTGACCTCCGTACTTGCACCCGTTCTTTATTTTTTCAAACATTCAATATTAATCATCAGGATTCTACTACAATGGAACTTCTTCAGACTCACCTCGAAAAGTTCATGTGTCAGGAGCAGAAGTACTTAGAGTTGCCGCCTTGGCTAAGTATTGTCTATTGTCTTGGTGACATGAGCCCAAGGTCCGTACAAGACAACCAAGATTCGACTAAATCCATGATTATAAGAAAATGTCGCAATTATATTTGTCCTCAAGTTTTTTTTCTCTAACTAAGCTGAGCTGTACACAATCCACATTCCATTCAACCCCCCATCTCAGTCTCAAACCCCAAATAGCGAAAGCACCTGCTCAGCCATCGGTCTATTGAGTCCAGCTATAACATCCATTGCCGACTGCGTAGAGTTGGAGTAGATCAGCGCCTGCCCCAAACTAAACACCCACGGACACGTATAATCATAATCTGCCGGATCCCCAAGATTCCCCCCCGTTCGATTCTCGTATCCCAACCTCACGAGAGTTTTCTCCTCCGGGTCATATTTAGGCCATCCGTATCTAAACGAATATTCAATCAGCTTCTCAGAAATAAAAAAATTGAAGTGATACAGAAGGGAGTACAAACCTCTGAAGTCCCCTCTCAGGATCTTTCACAAACGCCGCCCACGCTCCTTGCATATAAGCCCCGATCTTCTCCTGAGCCGTCGTCCGAGCAGTCACATTCTGCAAATCCAGATCCGTCCCAAACACCATAGGAATCTCCGAGCCATGCCACGCCCCCGACGACGGAGCAGTAGACAAAGCCAAATTAGGGAAATCACCAAAATAGCGATATCTCCAAGTAGGCACTTTTGTAGATGAGAGTTTCGCTCGTAGAGCTGCTCCACAGTTGAATGCGAAGAGGTTCTGGAGCTTCCACCAGCTGCTGGAGAAGGATTGACCCTGTGCGGAGAAGAGGACTTGGAAGAGTCCGATTTCATTGTCGTTTATGCCTATTAGGAAGGGTTTGCGGATTACTTTTCCAGCTAAAGCGCGTTGGATGTTGTCGGGAAATACGACTATGTTGTCGACGGCTGGTCCAAAGACGGGGAGGGCCGAGATGACTCTCAGGATCGATGTCTGGTTCCGGGAGCGCATGCAGGAGAGGACTGTGGTAGAATTTGATGGAGGGTTGCACCCGAGCAATGTAGCAGCGGCGAGCCAATTCGCTGCGGAATCATTTGCAGATCCTGCAATTGCAGTGCCTGATTGTGCGATGAAGCCATTGGCGATGGGATCGTGAGTCCATGCAAAGGAATAGAAGTCCACAGAGCCTGCACCCGCAGACTCCCCAACGATGGTTATTCGTCTCGGATCTCCTCCGAAGGCTTGGATATTGTCTCGGGTCCATTCGATGGCAAGCCGTTGGTCGAGAAGTCCGAGATTGTTGGTGCTGTTCGGATTACCTGGAAACCCAAAGATATTGAGGCGGTAGCTATACATTACCATGGTCAGCGCAGTTCATATTGTTTGAATAAAATTTCCGCTTACTTTATGGAAACCACAATGATATCTTGGGTATCTGCAAGATGTTTTCCATTATGGGCGCGAATATTCGACGACCCCGAAATGTATTCTCCGCCATGAATCCAAAGCAGCACAGCCTTCTTCTTCTCTCCAGACTGTGGTTTGGTCCACACATTGAGTGTGAGACAATCTTCGTTAAAGATGTCACCTTTTTGTCCTATCATGGAACCCAATACCTGGATCGCTGAGGGAGTAAGGTTTAGGTTTGAAGAATCGGCAACGACAGCTGCAAATGACGCTCCTCCATTCGAGGGGCATGAGTAACCCTACTCGATTAGCTACGCAGATAACTGAGAAGTTTTGAAAACTTACGAAACTACTACCATTAATGGCCGCCACAGAATTGTCAAGTGTTTGTGGTTCTGCCCATCTCAAATCGCCAAGGGGAGGTTTTGCCTGCACGATAATCAACATTGGACAGTTTCTGTCAAATACAACCCATCTAAACAAACGTATGGAATCCCCAGGTACTCTGAAACCAAAGGCGAGTTCTTCGCCGCATGTCCTTGCACACTCCCACTCGAAGTCCGTACCATCTGACCGACCTGCCAATTCGAATTTCCGGAAGGAGTTGCAATAGTCGTCCACACCAAAGCGGCAAGAGCGCAAGCAAAAGCAAAAGTCATAGTTTGAATTTTAGTTAGGAATATTTCTTTTGTTGAATTGAATACGAAAATCCGAAGAAAAAAAAAGGTAGAAAAAAAAACTTGGTCCTTCCATATTTGTATTTGTAGCCTCTCGCCATTTCAAAGCCTACCATCCTACGTAAACATTCACCGCCAAGTGCAAAAAACCCGGTCATAGACAGGTGTGCCGACATGATGCACGCAGCCGCAGCTGTCAGATCTCTGTGACCAGAAAATACCCCCCACCATTCAGCAGCTCATGTTTGCGAGATGGACTGCTCTAAGATATCTTCATCGCGCGACGTCTGACCGTTTTGGGAATTCTGACTTAGTAATACTGAACGGGATGCTTCGTGCAGGTACGATTTTTAATTTCCAGCCAGGGGCGAGAAGTAAGCTTACTATGTCATTGTCATGTCTCCAAGGCTTTTAGCGTCTTGTGTATGTGGTTGGAGTTGGCTGTGTTGTGATCCTTCGGTTGCATGGTTAGGCGAGTCGCTGTTCTGTGCAGCCACACACACTCGGCGCCGGAACTCGTTGGTATAACATCAAAGCAGTGGAAAAGAAAATGAGTAGTGGACTTGTATAAGCAGGGGAATATTTGTAGAAGATTATTATTTCTAAAGATACTGTTTGAAATCGAAAAGCACTGCCAAACAAAATGTACACTCCATGTTTATCAAATTTACAACTTCCCCCGGACGACAGCTTCCCATGACTAATCCCCACCAATCCAACTCCACTATGGTACAATCTCATTGCCCTTAGCAACTTCCCCATGGCTCTCGAGCCAATCCTTGCACCTCCTCTTATGGCTCCTCATATACTTCGCATGAACCGAGTCGACATAAGGCTTCTCTCGCTTGAAGATAGAATGGCCTCCAGCATTAGTGCAGAACCAGCGATTTGCCTCTTCTTCGTTTGTCATGTCCTTAGTTCCGTTCTGTACCAACTCGCAGTCCTTATCTTTGCTCAGTTGGATCTTGAGCCAGTTCACAGCAACACCGGGTGTTTCGCCCTTGTTTGGGAAACGGAGTGAGTTGGCGCAGAGTCCGAGGTAGCGGGTGAGAGGCTGGAAATCATCGAGGGCCTGTGATTGCGAATTAGCGGAGGGAAAGAATACAAGGGGATGTGGTAAGTGACTTACCTGGGGAATGATCTCGGTGTGGAGATACATCGGTAAGCTATCCTTTCTATACCTGTAGATTGTGGAGTTGACACCAGCATTCATGGCTCCGATGAAGCTTTCTGTCTCGCTGGCATGCCAGTCTCCACAAATGGAAGGATAACCCTTCCTCTCGAAAAAACGAGGCTTGTCACACACACATACCGGGAGATTGAATCCAATGCTCTTGCTTGTCGACTTTCCATACCCCCATGCGCCGTAGTCTGTAGGGTTGTTATGGGTGTACGTCTCATAGTTCACGAATGATTCCATGAGGAACTTCTGTCGTGTGAAGTTGAACCGATTGCCCGCGAAGGTCTCGAACTTTTTGGCTGCAACCATTGGGATGTCGTGCTGGTGTAGGTCAGAGAAGTACCATCTCCTCGAGTCACACATGAATTGAGGATCTGTGTCGGCATGTGGACAGAAGACCGAGAGATCCTTTCCCTTAGTCGCGCTCTCTGCCTTCTTGCAGTGAGCTGCTGCGTCCTCTTTGTAGCCGCACTTGATATAGTTGAAGTCGGTCGTCAAGGTATCTGTAATCAAACTTTTGATTACCGCCATTTTGATCCCCCTTTAGACGAATTAGCCTGGCATGAAACACGAAGCTGCGATGGTACTCACTCTTCCATATCGGAAATGTCCCTCATATCTTCCAACACAGAGCCTGGACCTGCCCAGTCACGAGTCTTCAGCCACATAGCGGTGCCAGATGGCTGGCCGGAGGCTGGAAAGAAGCCTTGGTAGAGGGCTTTAAACATCGCCTGCCTCTGCTTTCGACCAGACTCAAAAACACTACTGAGCCTGGCAGCCAAGTTATCTCTGTTCCCAGCATTGTTGTCGACAAAATCTCCCTCGAACTCGGAGCACATAGTTCCGTGGCCTATACCAGGAGCAATAAACTGATTATTGAAGTTATAAACCCGTTTGAGGTCGTTGTAAGCCATCATCTCCATGTATCCAAAGTTGTACATCACAACATTGCTCCACATGATGTTACGAGCGTATCCGGTATCTTTGACCCGCTGGTCGAGCGGCCCATAGGTGGTCAGGAAACTCATCTTACCCACATTTGCCCGAGCCTTTTGGATTGAGTCTTTCAGCTCAGTGATCTTTGACTGCATGGTTTGAATCACGGTATCTTCCACAGCGGTCTGTACTGCGGTTTCGAGAGCCCCCAACTCAGCGATCATAGCTCGAGCTTCTATGGAAAGAACTCCCATCTCCGGGCCAAGGAATCCCGCCAGAACGACTTGGGCCAACTGGATTCCCAGATTGACCATCATAGA